ATACAAATCAATATAAAATAAAAGTAAAGTGGAGGTGGGGAAGCAATGTACTCTCAGAACGGTGCCAACTCATGTGTCAGTCCACACCTGTGGCCTCTGGGGCAAACATGCCAACGTTGCATTATGTCCCTATGCCATCCAGGCCAAAATTTACATGATGAAACATCACATATGCTGCAGGTGACCAAAGCACAGATCCATCTAGAAAGTACAACCAGCTTGGTCCTCAGAAGCGAAGATTACAAAGCTTCAGCTTGCTGACTCGGGACATGTCATCAGGAGAGGAAGAGCTATGGAAAAGGACGTGGTGTTGCATAAAGCTGAGGGTCCGCGAACACAGAGCAGCCCTGTGTGAGATGGGCTGATGCTGTAGACACAGCAACGAGCTCAAACACGAGCCAGAGCCAGCTCAACAACAACCAACAACAACAACAACAGACTATTTCACTGAGAATTACTCTCCTATACTCTCCTTCCTAAAACAAGCACGCATTTTATTGATTTTTATGTGTGTATCAGCAGGATAGTAAAGAGGGCGTTTCAAAATAATTGTCTCAAAAAGGAAACATAACTTGGGAAACCGCGCGTCTAGAGTTTTATGCCCTGAGTGTTTTACTGCGCGTTTTATTTTGTCTGGAGACTTTCTGGCACCCTTTGAAATGTATGGAGACACCTGAGAAATCACTAATGAAAGATCAGGGGTCTTTTGGGCATGGAAAGGAAGACCCCAGGGGACTAAGAAAATATATATTTGCACATATGAGAATCAGGGCTGTGGGAAGAGCTCCCCAAGAGTTGGTTTAATGTGCATCTGAGCTCACAAGTCTGGTTCAACAAACACTATTTATGGAGCTTCTTGCTATTTATAGTGCAAAATCTTCCAACATGCATGGTGCATGAGTGGGAGGCAGCAAGGCAGAGCAAAGGGGATCAAATCTGGGGTCCAAAGTGTCTGTGCGATTTAGGGCAAATATCTTCTTTGAGTCCCAATTGTCTCGATCTGTGATACACAAATAAAGCTTACTCACCTTATTGTGGATATTTTTGTTAGCTGTTGCCAATCTCCATCGAGTTAGCACCATCAATATCATTAACATCACATGTAAGCGAAATATTGTTGAGGATCACGCAAAGACATCTAGAACAGTACATAGGTAGGGAACTGCCAGAAATTGAAGCTGGATTCAGAAGAGGCTGTGGCATCAGGTGTATCATTGCTTCAGTCAAATGGATCCTGGCTGAAAGTAGAGAATACTGTAAGTATGTCTATTTGTATTTTATTGACGGTGCATCCCATAACACTTAATTGTGCTTATGCAAAACCTATACCTCTGCCAAGAAGCTGTTGTGCAAAAAAGAGCAAGGGAACACTGTTGTTGCTGTTGTTGTTGTTGTTGTTAAGTGCTGTCTAGTTATAGTCAACTCATAGTGACCCTCTGAATGAAACGCCTGAAACCTATTGCAGAACTATTATCATTTTTCTAAGTTCATAGAGTTGTTTCCAGAGGCAAGCTATTTCAGAAAGGGATGCCACTCCTGCTTCCAAGTTTGTTTTAATTGGGGAACTCCACCAAACACTGTCCACCATGGGTAACCATTATAGCATTTGACACATCAGTGTCACAGTGTTTAGCATCACAGCAACCACGAGTTACCTCTGTACAGCAAATTGACAGACCAGTACTATGCTACTTAGACGAGTGTTTCACTGAAAAAAATCAATTAAAAATCCAATCAGCTCACACCCAATTGTGAACAAAACAAATAAACAAGCAAATAGTCCACACACAAGCCTCAATTAAAAC